GGTGTGTCTGTGGGGACCACGTTACCCGTGCTGAGGGGCTGGAAAAGAAATTCTGGACTTCTGCTTGTCCACCAAAAATTTCAGTAAGGACTGTGGGAGGGTGGAAGACAGCAAGGTCAAAACCCAGACAGGAGTTAGGAATTAAAATTTTATAACTAATTGGGAAGCTTAGTATGTAACACACAAATGAATTGCTTATACAAGGAGAACATAACTCCCAATGCCAAGTGGAACAGCTCCAAAGGACGTACTGATCAATTCCAGCCCCAGGGGACAACTGAAGTTGTCAGTCCTCACTCCACACCACAGCATGAGGATCTACAAATGCTTCCCACTGCTGTAGTGAGGGTCCTCACTAATTACAGCCAGCTGCCTTCATTAAGCAATAACAATTGTGTGGGTCTTCTCTTGAGGAATACACCTGGTGCAGGTGGTTTGGTGTGTGAGGCCTGGCCGGGTGCTCACCCTTTGCCTAACAAAGGGCGAGCCAGACCTGCAGCACTGGTCACCTGGGTGGTGGCTCGTCACCCAGAAATGCTGCAGAACCCAATGAACAATGAGAAGACCCCAGACCAAATATCACCATGGGACCAAGAGGCACATGTAAGGGGCGTGAAGGGCATGTGAGGAGCACAGGTGCACAGACTGTAAGGGTACAAAAGCCAGGGAATTCCAGAGGCACCCAGCTTGAGCAGTTCTTATGTCCCTGCACCACAATTAAATTACTTAAAGGAACCAGACAGTGTGCTATGGGGAAACCAGGGTAGAGCTGGTGAGGGAAACTTGTCTGTGTGAGTGTGGGGTGTGTAGGGAGTAAAACAGGGCACCTGCTGGTTCACTGGAGCCACCCACTGCAAAGGGGCTTCGGTTTCAGCAGTTAAAGTCTTGGGTGGCAGGAGTGTGACTGCCAGAGTGGCTCCAGAACAGTCAGATGGGAAGGTTTCCTAAACAGTTTGGCAATCCAGATGGCACCCTAGGCCACCACCTTCGGAGTCTCCCTTCTCCAAACATCCAGCTGCTGGCACTGTGTGAGTTCACCCGAGAGCTGTGGAGCAGGGAGGAGCCAAAGGGTGAGTGTTAAAATTCCCTGTGCAGATTTAGTTTAAATTATAAGGGTGGGTTTGACTCTGCCCTGTGGTGAAGCACTTTGCTCAAGATTTTGAAGATCCTTCAGGGGATTATAATCCCTCAAAGGCACCTGAGTTTCGAGTCCCTCATCAGGTGTAGGCGGTTAGAGTCCCTTGTCAAGCATGTGTAGAAGGGGAACTCAAGTCCCTTTTTTTCATGTAAAATGGGGGTTTAAGTCCCTCTCAGTGCCTGAAACAATGGGAAATAGACCCAGCACTGCAAAAGGGACACCCTTGGCTGAGGGTTTGCAAAATTGGCAGAAAGTGTCTGGTACAGCAGAGTTATCCAAAGAACAGGCAATAGCGCTGTGCCAAGAGGGTTGGGCAGCTCTAACCTGGAGTGGCAGCTTGGCAGAATGGTAGCCATCACCAGGAGCTTCTGATCAACACAAATTCACTTTCCTGCAGTGATATCTGGCAGATGGAGTCCCCAGATTACCTGGATTGTTGGTATGTCTGGAACGATTGCACCTGCCGTGTTGGGACGACGTCGGGGAGGGCAGTCTGTGGGCCAGACCTGTAACTGGGGGATACAGACTGGCTCTGACGGCTGGGTTGGTTGGGCTGGGGTGTGAAGCAGGGCTGGGTCCTGGCTCTGGATGCAGCACAGGCCCTTCCCATGGGTTGCCCCAGCTGCTGTGAGTGGCACTGCCGTGCCCCCCTACCTACCCCACCCCGTCAGTGCACACCCAGCGCCAGGGGCTGGATGTGTGCAGTTCTGTGGGAGTGGCCCTGGGCTCGCACCCTCCTCGGCCGGTGCCCAGGAGCCAGCCTGGAGCTGGTGCAGGCCAGAGGAATCCAGCTGTTACGTTAAAGCAAAGTGTCAGGAAGGCCCGTGGTGGGTGCAGGTGCAATGGGATGCCTGCCCACGGGAATTGGGTTTATAGCTTGGGGGAGCACTGTGGTTCTGGTGATGCCCAGTGAGCACTTGCCAGCCTGTGACAATCCAGGGAGAGGGTGTCAGCCTCACACTCGGCTGCACCTGTACCCACAGCAGGTCTCCAACGTGATCAGTGCATCTCCTACCATTTCCTTGAGAATACTGGGGCATGATATAAGGGCTTGGCTGAACGCAGAGGTGAGGCTGACAGGTGTCTTCCACTCGACCAGACTGTTCAAAGCCCCAGCCAACCTGACCTTGAATATTTACAGGGATGGGGCATCCACACCTTCTCTGGGCCACCTGCTACAGTGCCTCCCCAGCATCATGACCAGAGGCAGTTGCCTCAACCTGCCATGAGCCCTGACTCCTCACCATCTCCTCACCAGGACTGGGCCCATACCACATGCATTGGAGTCCTTCCTGGGCTGGGGAGACCAGAAGAGGACAGAGGAATCCATAGGCAGTCACCAAAGTCCCAACTAAGAGAAGAAGAAAGCATTTTTACTGTTATTTTCTTGGTTTATTGGTTTGGGTTTTTTTAATTTATTTCCCAACTTGAAAAGAACTCCTTGTGAAGCAGCTAAAAGGGCCCTTCATGCTGAAGGCCAGCACTTCTTCCTGGCAGAACTGCTGTCTGCTGCTTCTCCAAAGGAACATTCTTGGCTTGATCTGTTACTATTCTTCATGCAAGGCTGCAGAGGGTCTGACTTCACCTTCACTCACTCATCGGGGAACCTTCTCGTCCTCAGACTGAAGAAACCCCACCTCCAGGCCCGAGATGCCAGTCACCCTCTGAGGGACAGCTGTCACCTTAGCACAGCAGGCTGGTGGAACCCAATTCAACTTACTTCCCTTTTCTTTAGGCTCAGAGCAGGGGAGCTGGCACCCCTTCAGGGGGCGTGGGGGCAGGGGATGGGAAGGAAGGGCTCATACTACCCATGGCAATCAACAAAATAATCTGTTGATGCCAGGAGATGGAATGAGTGAGCCAGCAGGATGGCCAGAAGAGGAGGCTGGGAGTCCTATCTGATCACAGGAGTGAAGGCTGGCCCGATTGTAGGGTGCTGGCCAGGCACTCCTGAGAAGCTGTGATCACTTCCCCATGTGATCCCGTGTTGGCTATGACCAATGGCTGCATTATCTACACTAACTCCTAGAATGACCTCCATAATATTACCTGGCACATTTGGAAAGAAGAAGTTCCTAGGGCTGAATGCCTTCATTATTTTACTGAGTTTAAAAGCGCCAGTCTGAAATTGTTGATGTTACAGCCTAAAAAACCCCAGAACTTAAGGTGGCACCAGCAAAGCAGTGTGTGGACATGGAAACAGAGGGTTTCCAAAAAAAGCCTCCTACTTCAGGGGTCACAGGAGCACAGATGCTGTCGCCAAAGTGCCAAGTAAGAGAGGATGACAGTATTTTTATCTTTGTCTTGTCGTTTATTTTTGAGTGATGAAGGTGCGGCGGAGGTTGGGCCACCGGTGTTCCCAGAGCTGTGCGCTGGATGTCGTTGCTTGAGTGTTGGCAATGGTTCTCAGGGTGCAAGGGCTGATGCTCCTCCTCTTCCCCTTCTTTGTCCTCTTCTTCCTCCTTCTCCTCCTCCTGCACCGTCGATTGCCATGTTTCAGGCCCAGGGGAGATGACTTCTTCTTTGGTGGCTGTGGGAAGCGTCTCTTCGCCGTCCCACGTGAAGGTTGGCAGTCACTGCTCCGGCTGCTCCCTTGCATGCTGGTATCTCTGGGCTGCACAACATCCCCTGCTGGGCACAGAACCAAGTTCTGCATGGCCTTGATAAGGGAAGCGAGGGCGACGGTGCTCTCGAGAGAGGCATGATTTTGTTCCCCCTCCTCTGCTGCCTCCTGGCACATGCCTTCCTCTTCTGCCATCACGGGAAGTGGCCCTGTGCTCCTGTCCTGCACGAAGGTGGGCAGCCATCCACCCTGCTGCTCCAGCTCCTCTTCCTTCCAGGTATTCATCAGGGGCCCTGCGTTTACAGTGCCGGAGCAGTGAGGTGATGTGACACCACAACCAAGCCACTGTGATGTCAGTTGTGACTGGGGCTGAGTGTGGCCCCGTACATCAGGGTTTGGTTGTGATGGGCCTGTGGCCTGAAAAACACTGAAACATGGGAGAAGGAGGAGGCTGAGGGCTCCTCTCCTGGGGCTCACTCCCACCTGCCGTGTTGCTTGCATGAGAAAGGTTGTCCCTTGGGCACAGGGACCGCCCAACTTCCCCTTGTGAGCCTGTCGCTCCAGCGCTGTCCTCATCCCATACTTGGGGTCCCCTCAGCAAGACAGTGGCAACAACGTTCCAAGAGTTAAAAAACCCCGCAGGTTTCCAGGAAGAAGGGTGGGTTCAGTCTAAGGGGCACCCTCATGCTGTTCTCTGTTTTTATAGACAAACCTTAAAGCGGCTTTTTTTGTTTTTAATCTCGAGGGATATTTTTAGTGCTCTCACATATTATATAGTCCACTTCCTGCTCTCGCCTGGGGGCTTCACCACACCTATGGCAAAGTTAAAGAACAGCTCACAGCACTTCAGTCTGGCTCACACAAGTAACACAAAGTGGATTAGGCCACTGTTCCTGCAACACAGAATAACTGGGAAATGGGCTGTGGGTTGGGGTAGCATATGAGTTTTGTGGGTTGTAGTGACAACAGTTTCTTGGGTGTACAGCAGCAATGACAATTGAGAAAGTCATGTGTGTGACTGTGATCTGTTCTGCTGATCAGGTAACATTCAGGTAAAAGAAAGAAGGCATACTTTCTCCTCCAGCATCCTGTACACTCATATATATATATATATGTGTGTATATATATATACACACACACACATAAGAATTTGATTAATTTTCCTAACTGGTAGCACACAGATATTTTTGAAAAAGTCAGAAGAGACATTTGGTTAACTCTGGGATGACAAAGGGCAAAACCAAGGACTGTTCCTTTGGAACTGGAAAGAGTCACAAATATCTGCTCCACATCATCTGTTCCAAGATACCAGGCTTCAAAAATCAAGGACAAAGCGCTGTTGGCAACATCATGGTAACTCATGACGAGAGTGCATGAAAGAGGGCATTGGCTTCCACTTCAGGTAGATGATGTGACTGGTACCACGAGAATTAAATTTGTACAAGGACATGAACATAGGGAAGTCCTCATTGGGAACAAAAGCCACACAAATGACAGTTTATGACCTCTACCATCCAGGTAACATCCACTATGTTCCCTATCAATCAAGCCCTTTCGTGTTGCGCTTTCTCAGTGTGCCTGTTTCATCTGCATCACTGGCTTTTTGCTCTTCTAGCGCTGCATTTTCATTTTCTGACTCCACAGACATGTCCTCTTGGGTTGTCTCTTCTGCTTCACTGCAGCTCTCAGAGTGGAATCCAGCATTCTCTGCTATGACAGCAGGATCATCCCCATAACAGCAGCAGCAGTCCTCAGTGCTTTGGCTGTGACGGAGGTTCCCCTTCTCTTCACCAACGAGAGTCGCCTCATCCTTTTTCTGCGTTAAATTCTGACCACCCCTTCCCGTGGTGAGATCAGTTAGCTGGGTTTCATCACAAAGATACTCCTCATCTTCCATGCCCTCCATTCTTTCTGCCAGCTCTTCTGGAGAGGGTTGGCTCAGGTCAGGGTAATCTACAAGGATTGTGTCCTGTTTGCGCTTGCAGCAGTTGGAGTTATCGTAGACAGGATAAGTCTCTTCTGGATAACCTTAGGAATAAAGTGATATGAAGGCTGAAGCATAACCAGCATTTAAAAGTAGTACAGACTTAAGTGATGAATGCAAAGTTTGATAGAACAATTGTTTTTAGCACTGCCAGTGTGTCAACTATTTAATGCCATGTGTACATTGCAGTATTAAATCCATGGCAAGAATCTGCAAAACATGACTTCTTGGGAGATGATGGCAAAAAACCCACTTATTTTCAGGGAGCCAGGTTATCAACCCTGACTTTCAGGAGTGAACATCTGAGCTTTGCTGAAAGCTATGGGAGCTAAAAGGTAAAAATTGTGTCTTAGATCTTTAAATAGATCATTTTTTTTCCCCTGTCTACAGATTGACTGATTCATGCTTTGAAGACTTTTGCTATAGACAGCATTACTTAGAAAATTGAAAAATCAGATATGTCAATGACTTTATGCATTTCATTTTAGAAACTTCATCATGAACTTCACTTTATAAACAGAGCTCAAGGCCACTGTTTATGCTTTATGTTTTGGATAATTTCTGAAAGCTTTTAAAAAAGCATTTGAAATAATGGTAGTGAGCAGCTCAATTAAGACATCTTGAAAACACATTTATATAACAGGTAAACACCAAGGAATGGAAAGGACACTAAAATAAATAATTTTTAAAAGACAGACTTCCTGCAGTTGGCTTTTACATTAGAGCAAACAAAAAATGACTAATCAAAAGTAAAAACTGTAATTTATCTAAAACATAATAATTATGATTTCCAAGAGGTCTATGATTGTCATGAAATCCAGCACAGCAAAGTAAGGGAAAGACATAAAACTAGAGCAGCCAAGCCCCAGCAGCAGATGGAGTATATGTGAATATTCATATGCCACTTTTGCCAGCAGATAGTGTAGTGTTTACACTAAAGGCAATGCTTGGTGCCTCAAAATCTATTTTTTTCCATTATGGTTGGGGAAAAAAAAAAACCTTTTTGCAAAGGTTTGAACACTAACTTCTGGAAAGGAAGGATAAAGTTAACCAAAACTTTGAAAGTATTTGGGACCATAAGTAATCCTTATTCAATTTTTCTCAAAAGGGTTACGGTAAGAAAAGCTCTCTTACCTTCCCAATCCTCCATGTAAGGAGCTTCTTCAGCTTCCTTCTCAGGAGAGATGTCATCTATGAATTTTCCTTCTTTCATAACTCTAGTTATTTCTCGGAGTTGTTGAAGCAACATTTTTTCCTGGTCTGTTGTAACATTTTGAGTCCTGCTAGAGAATATTAGACACCAGAGTTCAGTTCACTGTTATTACAAACTGTTAAAAGAGTTTGAACCCAATTGTTTGGTCCTTCCCAGCAGCACAGTCTGAAGACACCTGTCTGTAGTATGATCACTCCTCAACATGTGCATGTGCTCTGCACTTCAGCACAGTGTAGTTCACCCCTTTATCCAGAAAGTCTGCAAACATAAGCAGGTAAAGGAAGGCAGGTAAAGCCTGCAAGATCGAAGTGACACACAAGCAAGAGACACTACAGAAATTTCTTGCCTTTATAAAACTGTTAGGTAAGAATTAGAGTGCAGTGCCCTGTTTGAAGCATTATAAGGAAATGTAATTCTGAACTTATGCTACATTTGTAGCTTGTGTGGGCTGATCAAAATTACTCAAACATCATTATTCTCAAGACTCTTATGATCCCTCATTATGACCATTCAATTTGCAAGGCCTCATTAAGAAATGTCAACTGGACAGATCATGCTGTAATTATAGAGTCAACAATGCTGCCTGGTGGGGGTAGGAGCAGGAAGGAAGATTTAAAAATGAAAAGAAGGTGTTACATTTAACTTGCCCTTTATGATTAGAGAGTGGGAGAGGACTGAGATTTTTATCAGATTAAAAGCAAAATATGATTTTGACTGGTTCTACACTGCTGAGTCTAATAATTACTCAGGTAATATAATTACTTATTGCTGTAACAGTAAGTAATTCTTCCAACAGATAAGACCATGTAGTCATTACACATTATTTTCTCTTGAAAGAAAAAGGCTCCTAAAAATCTTATTGGCAAAAAAAAAGAGTATTTGGAAAGTGGTGGTCTGTGCTCTACTAACTCAGTAGGTCAGAGTAAGAAAACATTGGCTGTACTTAGGGGTGAAAATGGTTCTGACCGATGGTGCTTGTTTCATCTTGAATTTCAAATTTAAAATTATGATATCTTGAGCTTTAAGTTGTCCTTGAGCAGGTGTTTGATCTTTGTGTAAGTACCAGTTCAAGAGTCTCAGAGGTCTGAGACACTACTCTAGCGCTTTTTTGGATCTCGCTGTGTTTTGGTTGGGATCTCTTGCTCCTGTGTTTCAGTCAGGATCTGTTGCTCCTAGTTCCTTGGAGAGGGTGGGCCTTGGCATGCACAGAATGCTGAACTGTAGGCAGTGTGTGAGGTCAGAGAGATGATCTCTGGTGATCTCTGGAGATCAGACAGACATAATCTCCAAGACTGAATGCTCAGTGAATCTTAGGAATGAAATGGGAAGAGAGGAGCTGGAAACAGATTAATGATTTTGGCTTTAGGTGGTTAGTATCTATCTAAACCTTGTTTCAGTTACCTGAATTCTCATAAACTTGCAGTGTTCATCCTCAGTTTCTCCTCTTACCAGCTGTTGGGACTAGAGCAGCATTCCAATAGGTACTTTGTGCCACTCTACATAGAGAGGAATGATGGGTGACACGATGGCTACTCCACTAAAGGCAGAGTAACGCTGGTTCAAAGCCAAGATTAGCATCCTACTGCTGGCTGGTGCAATGGTGATGGGAGTTCTGATCCTGAGCTAGACTTTTTTTGTGCACAGCTGCAAACACAGGTGACTGTAACTGAACCTAGCTCAGGAGCAGGCCTGCTGGTTTCATTAGCACCTACCCAGATTAAACTGTTTGACTGAGATCACAAAGCAAAACATCCCTTATCTGCACTTCCCCTGAGGGGCACTTAGCCACACAGTTTGAGAAGTTGATATTCCAACACTATAGGGAGGCTACACTGAGTCCTGTCAAGTTGTGCTGGCAATCTGTTCCACAAAACAAGTGAAGTTGTGAGGCAGCATCTTCTCAAAAGTCTGGGTTATGCAGATGTAGAATTTGAGATGTGAATTAAAAGGCTCCAAAAAAAGGAATGGTTTCATCAGCTAACTGCCTTTCATTGAAGCTGTAACAGAATTGCCAAACTCATGCTCCTTTTACAGACAAAACTGTACCTAATGTGAATATATATCACTTGGATGAAGACAGAGATGCCCATCTGTTTAGCAAAATGGGAAGATAGGCTAGCTCAGATAATAGGATCAATCAATGCAGCTGCATCACTGCAGCACTTCATACAGGAAAATTCCTAATATGCAGGATACTCTCATTAGAAAATACCCCTGTCTTATTGCAACACGAGGTGTCTGTATTTCAGATTATTCCTCCTCCAAACACCTTGCTTAACAGACAAATTTCCCTGTAGAGAGGGAGAAACTAAAGTTCATGTTATTTCCACTCTATTTAAGGCCTCTGGGAAGACTTACTGTAGGATGCTGGCAATGTGTAAGACATCTGGCTGCCCTGCATATGAGAGATTTACCAGGATATAATGTTCTTAGGAATACTAAGAGGACAACAAATTTACAGTATAAGAAAAGGTCATTACTTTTGCTCTCTGTATTTGTAGCTCCAATGCAACCATTACTTTTCGTAATGGCAATGCTAATATTTTGTAGAGTCCCACAGTGTTCACTAACAGGTAAAGTAAAGGTTTCTTATTCTTACTCTGAGGTAGAACATTTCCTGAAGAGCCATCATGACTGCACTGAAAATCCATAATCTAACATGGCATTTCAGACATCTTAACTGGTGTTTTTTTAGCTTCATGATCTTAAAATAATCATTATTGAAATGCAGCTACTGCCCAAAAATGGCACCCCACAGAGCGTCTTGCTCTTCCATATCACATTTGCTCAGTTTACAGTAAAAAGGAAAGTTTTTCCAGTTGACAGCCTGGTAAACAGGACAGTGTATATTATTTCTTTGAAACAGAATTTTTTTCCATGGTACAGCATTCTCTGAGAATAAACTATCCTTCCCAACTCATCCAGATTTTGAGAGCAATTTTTTTTTTTGAAGAAAATACACAAAATTAGAATGTCTTTGGATTGTAGGTCTGAGGCATGAGCTCAGACCTCAGCACTCTGACAAGCGCTGTGGGTTATGGTGATACATCAGGTTTTGTGACAATGCAAAATCTGACCTTTGGTTTGGTTACTAATACTTCACTTGTCCAGCTGGCTGCTGCTTTGCCATATCTAGTCTAAAGGGACATGGTCTCATCTGGGGTCTTTCAGCATTACTTTAAACTTGATACCAGTTATTTCTGCCTTTGACTTTTCTGTTGCAAGGCTTTCTGTTTAACTGCATATCAAAAAATGAAGCTCAAATAATTTTCACTGTCTTTCTCTTTCCTTTTTATTTAAATCTATCAACATTCAGACTGAATAGGCCAGGCTCAGTACTCTGTGCTCTAAATACACTTTCTACCATAGGATTTAATACACTCATCCAGTATTACTGAACTTAATGAGTATCACAGTGTAGGTTAAGAAAGCTTCCAAATCTGATTGTATTTGAAAAGAGCTATTTGCTCCACCTAGAGGTGCTTCCCCCCTCCTCTTCAAAGAGGCTACATACAAAATTCTTTATTAGATTCAGATTCTGATTTCCCCTGAGACCTTTAGATCCATCTATATAAATAGTTTGGTTGAACAAACAAGGGAAGTTCTACTAAATAGAGGCTTTGAGCCAATAACACAGAGTAGAACAAATACTGGATCAGACCCTAAACCGATTTTCTCCATAAAAAAACATCCTATCCTGAGAGTCAGCACAAAGTCTGGGCAGCTCATAAGCCTATTTCTGTCAGCTTAAAGGTACGCACAGAGCATTGTCAGCTCTCCAAAACATGGAGGAGTAACAGTCACAGTGGTATCCTTCTGTTCCACTGACAAAACCAGGGCAGCTCAGGGGTTCTCCTGCTGGAACCTGGCTGAACATGGGCAAGCTCAGCACCTCGTCTGCCTGAGCTGAGTGCAGCTGCAATACAGGGCATGGCACAGAGAGGGCAAAACTACACACTTTGAAGCATAAATGAACAAAATGTGCAAGTTCAGCACAGAATTGTTCCTACAGAATGGGTTAAAACAGGCCTTGGCTGGCCCAGACAAAGTTAACATGCATTACAACCTGAACAGTTATTGGTTTTGATTGCAAAACTCACGTTAATATTCATGGTATTTCCATTTTCAGACACTGCAGTTATGCACTGTCCTACTGATCTGTTCTTTACACTCCTCATGCAAAACATAGACTTGTTTCCAGTGTTTCTTTATAATGTAGAATAGTGGTACCAGGTTTTTAGTAAACACTAATAAACATAATAAAATTTTAAATGCCAATTTTACAACTGTTTTGTCTTTTATATTTAGAAGCAAATGCATGAATTGAGAGGGTGGAACTAAGTTATGTAATCAGATATTATACAGTTCTGCCCTTAAAGAAATATTTTATGCTTATTCTAACAGGAATTTACATAGATTATGACAGCATTTCAATTTGGAAAAATAATCCATTGAAATGGAAAAGAATAATTCAGGATATTACTTTGGTCACATAAGACAGGTTGTTTTATGTACTTTAAATGTAGAGGTTTTATCTTCTGTTTACACATACCTGTCATCTTCTTCCAAACAACACACTGTAAAAAAGGGAAAGGTAGGGGTAGTTGCTATTCTGTTAAAGGAAAATGAAGCTGGAAAAAATTATTTATTTTACATATTGATGCTGAAAAGAGAAAAACTGCAGAACAAAAAGTGTGATGTGTAAAATCAGATTTCTACAGTTTGAAGTAGCAATAAAAGTGCTATTTTAATATAGACAATAGAAGAAAGTTTAATTTCTAATCAGAGCAGGATCTCTCCTTCAAATGCTGTAATTTGATACACACCTGTCATACATAGGTCCTACTCTGTTGATTAATTTTTCCATAGCTTCTTCTGTCTCTCTCAGCCTTTCCTGGAGTTGAGTGAGCTCATAGTCAGCTGTAAAACAAAGAAACCATCCCAAGATCTGTCAGCAGGAGCTTTGAAAATGTATCTCTGTCCCATTATCACAGGTAGCATATGCTGTACTGAATCAAACTGGCTGTGAGGAAACTAAAACATGCAGCTTAGAGAGTTCTACCTACTTTCCTTGGCCTAAGAAGGTGAAGATTACTGCCAGTGGTAACAGGACACACAGAAAGCACCTTCTTTCAAATGCTCCCAAGCTACCTCCCAATAACTGGGTGGGCCCTGGAAATTGAAGTCAGGGGGAAAAAAAAATTTTTTGTGTGTTTGCTTATTTGTTTTTTTCCCTAAGGAAACCATAGTGTTTTGCTGTCTACTCCAGAATTAATAATTCTCGTGGATTTTCCCTCTTAGGACTCTGGGAACAGAAACAAAAGGTCATTTGAGCATTTTCTAATGAGTCCAAGGTTTGAGGAACCACTTCTTTCTCAAAGAGAATCAAGTTCATGGGCTTGATGGCTTGATCCAGCCCTGCCCAGGTGTGCCAGGCTTACTGGGATGAACAACAGCGGTGTCCCATGGAATCTGCCTGGAGAGCAGAGCACACCATTGTCATGGTTGCACTCTTTTCCAAAAAATGTGGCTGTAGTACGACAGTGGACACACGTGCAGGAACACCCATATACTGGCTTTCATTTGGCCAAAAGCATTAACAGTCAAGATGCAGCAGCATGGATGTCAACAAAAATGCCTGAGCTCCTTGTTGGGTTTTTGTGGCTTGCGCTCAAAATCCCGTAACTGAGATTCCATTGCTCCCCACTGCAGAACAAACTGAAACCAGCCTGGGTGAGTTAAATATTCCGCTGCTACGGGCACATGGTATTTAAGCAGCGCGAAGGCACAATGGAACTCCAGCACAGTAGGAATGGAGAAATCCATCCACAAGCATCCATCTTTTAAGAAAGATTTCTATTCTGCACAGAATGTCATTACTTAATGTATCACTGATGTAATTATTTTGCATGTCTGAGACTTTAAACCCAGAGGGAAACTGGCAAAGAGAAAGCAAGTTGCTCCCTCCAAGTCACTGCATAAGTAGTGACTCAGCCTTCAGATTCCTAGTCCAGTGGCCTGTCCCCTGCTCTGCTACAGCTTGCCATGAATGCTTTAGGAATACAAATGAAGAGCTCAAGAGAAAGGCAGAATAACTTTCATTGCTAGTTCTTTGGGTTATAACACTGGTAAATGTTTAACTTACTGCAAACTTAGTTTCTCTTACAAAGCATTAGAGAAAAAAATACAATTAATAATTGTGCTAATAAACTGCACAAAATTTCCAGGAACAATGCACTGAAAACACAATCTATAGCACTGAGTACATTAGGTCTTCCTAATATGCACATTAATGTCAAGATAATTACAGCTATGTTAAGAGAATTACCTTACTGATAGCAGTTTCTGTAAAACACTAAGTACTTTTCCTTCCTAATACAGTTTAGCCAGCTAAACACCACACGTTTAAATACTGTTATTGTAAGTACTCCTCCAATCTTCAATAGCAAGCTTATTAATTTATCTAATAAGTGTCTGCAAATAGCTGAACCTATTCTAACCAATGTTTAGGTAATATCAAAATAACACTTCAGAACACTATTTGCTCTCTTTATTGCACCTACGAAAACTTTGCTCATTGCAAAAAAAAAAAGGAAGGGACAAATTAGGGGAGTGCCTGATAAAGGCTAAGAATTCACAAATTCAAAGAAATGAAGTTAGCTTTTATAATATATCTCTGTACTATTACTAGACTATTAGGGATTACAGAATAATTATAGATGGACATCCTATTATCCATTTTTAATCATTAGCTACACAGCTTTTCAGCAAATCCGTACAGTTAATTCAGCGAACCTCATGAAAAGCCATTCCTTCCAGAGGGGCTTGGGATCAAGCTGCTATTGCAGAGTCTCATTAGCTGAATGAGATTAGAAAGTGACAGTGAAGTAATTCACTTTAATTCTTGCTCACTCTAACACAGAAGCTTCTGGTTTGCTCTTCATGGGGGGCAAACAGCAGCTTTAGAGTGTGCCCAGAACTTGAAGAACCATGGACCATGCCAACAGCTACACAGATATAACTCGAAGTCATACTCACTAATTTTCCTCTTCATGTTTCCAGGTGTAGCAGTCGGGCATTTCCGCTCTGCAGGAGTAGTTTTTCCCTTGGAAGCCAGCTGGGGAGTGAAAAAAAGATGACCCTTCTGTGAAATACCACAATAGTACTATATAAGCCCCAAAGGCAACAGGAAAAAATACAGAAAACTAAAACATGCCAGAAGGTGACCACAGAAAAGCATGCCCAGCAGCAAAAACAGACAGCTGTGAAAGATGCCTGAGAGATCTTGTCCGCTGAAAACTTCTGAAAGACACTCGGAAAAAATGATATTTTTAAGCATAGTGAAAAGATAACTCATAAAAAATAATTTCTGAATTTTCCATTCCGTTATTCTGTGTATAGGAGGGAAAAAACCTCATTTGGCAATTACTGTGAAATGAAGGGCAGGCTCTGAAGGAACTACATGTGACCCTACTCGTCCCTCTTGCTACAGTTTCTGCCATTACTCCTTCCCAACTTTGCACCTGCAGCACAGACACTGGTTGGCTAAAAAATACTTCTAAGATCATTGAGTCCAACTGTAAATCTCACACTGCCAAGTCCACCACTAAACCATGTCCCCAAGTGCCACATCCACGTCTTTTAAATATCTCCAGGGATGGCAATTCAACCACTTCCCTGGGCAGTCTGTTCCAGTGCTTGACAACCCTTTCAGTGAAGAAGTTTTTCCTAATAGCCAATCTAAACCTCCCCTGGTGCAGCAATTTGAGGCCATTTCCTCTTGTCCTATCGCTGTTACTTGGGAGAGAGACTGACCTAGCCTGTCTACAATCTCCTTTCAGGTAGTTGTGGAGAGCCATAAGGCCACCTCAAGCTTCTTTTTCTCCAGGCTCAACACCCCCAAGCTCCCTCAGCCACTCCTTATCAGAGCTGTGCTCCAGACCCTTCCCCAGCTCTGTTGCCCTTCTCTGGACAGAAGCTGCAGGCTATTTTTTTCATCTCTGTGATTGGTTCACCCAATTCATTCTTTACTCTGTCCAGCTCAGACTCAACTCTTTGGACACTGCTAAGGCTGGATTTAGCCCCCATTCAAAGCAAAAAAAACCCCACATTTCCACAAGTCCACTTCTCCCTCCTCCCACATAGCCGACTGTCATCACCTACATGCAAATCATGTCTGTGTAACAAAAATCTATGAGAAGTTCAAATCACATGTGAAATACTTGAGGGGAATTTTTTTTAACTAGCTTTCAACCCATTCCTCAGCTAGTGCATTTACATCATGGTCAACACAATCTTACAAACTCCCACTCCCCAAAAAAAGTGGTGCTTTAGTTGTAAAAGGTACACAGTTGCTCTAATCCCTCTCTGCCACTTTAAATACATAAAGCAACACATGACATACACAGTACATAGAATATGTAGTCACAAATAAAGGAAAAGAATACTATGTGTATATTCAAAATTAATCTAACATTGTTCTAGACATACACATTTCCAGGGGGGAAAAATATCCTTAAAAAAATTGTAAGAGGTCAGAGGCTGATGCAGAATCAGAGCTTGTCCCTGTGCTCTCAGCTACAGTCTTTGCAATAGCAAAACCCACAGGGTACTCCAATCTTTTGACCACCAGTCGAAAGTCCAAAATAAGCATTTTCTTTGAGCACAGCTGAACAGGAATGAGGTACACAATTGAGAGCATCATTTATTTTCCAAAGTTTTTTGTTATTTCCCCGACTTTTCAATTTATGTTTGTCTTACCTTAAATAAAATGTACAGGATATATAAGAAGATGCCAAATCCATATATAGGGATAATCTGCCCCACAAGACCTCTCCCAGTTCCACCAGCGCTTCCACTACCACCTCCACCTGCCTTGGCTTTGGCAACTGCTTCAGCAAGGTGAGACCTCGGAAAATGAGGGGCAGCTTGGCTGTCAGGAGTGGCATGGGAATGCATCCTCAGTGGAAAGCGACCAAGCTTCCCTGAAAAAAAAGATACAATGATCATTTTTCTTCAATTACTTTTCACCTTTTTACATGCAGCCTAAAGCTGCAGCAGGTGTAGCTGACCTGTTTTCTCTACTTGTAAATGCACAACCACCAATGAATGAGTAACCTGTTGGGCTGTAAATACTAAGTCTGTAAACTCAATCCTCAGTCACTTATGATCTGCAGTGCTAGGAGTTAGGGTTTACGTACAGCAAGTTACTCCCAGCAATTTTACTCCTATAAAATTCGAGTAAAATCACACCATTAAAATATCTTAATTTTAAGAAGAGAAAAAGCTGGCTTGCAATTAACAAAGCATGGATTTTAGCAGGTATATATATATGTATATATATAAAACTTGCCTGAATACCCTATGAATCAGCATCTCCGACAGGATGAAACCCCAAAGTCTTTCTTATTTCTCTGCTCAAGAGAAACTCCAACAAGATATTGGTTTTCTGCTGTGAGCCTGATCTTTCAATATTATGCAAAGGCATGTTAGTGTATAAACCACCACACATCCAACACCCTGATATACGACTGCAGTGTTTGCTCAGTATAGATTTTTGGCTACTGCCATAAGAAATAGTATTTTACCTGATTTTACCAAGCGACTAATAAAAGAGAAAGAAAAGTGAGGGCCCCTCAAGCTGTTCTCCTTAAAAAGGTCCGAGGTAAAGCAATGTAAAAAAGGAGACTGAACATAGCTTGGGGCGTATTATCTCTGGCATTTTAGAGGGAAAACGTTTAGAGGTTTCTAGCCTTTCTAGGCAGAGGTAATATAAAACAAGAAAGGGGAGGAAGCATATATGGATATATAGATGCTAGTGTAAGACTGCAGAGAGCCTGAAATGGCGCTACAGATGATTTCATCCAACTGAAAGGCACATAAGCCTCAATAAATTTAAGCTCACGCATTATTCTGTTTTCTTTCTGCCATCAACTCAACAATTTTGCCATCGAGTTCACTATTTTATTCTCTGTGTAGTTGACATCCTGCTTTCTGTCTCCATATCGAGCCTGAACGTGCACCTGCATTCCCTTCCACCGAGTGGGTCTGAACTGAATTACTCAGCTATCCACCACGGAGTTTGGCGGCAGGAGGCGTTGGATGAAAGCACCAGAGACGGGATGTGCCAGGCTGGGCTGCAGCTCACTCCCTGGTGCCAGCTGTAAAACTCCCCCTCCTTGGCACACGCAGCCTGGACACTGCTGACTGGTGCTGGGACAGGCTGTGTGTGCTCACAGAAAGGAAATGAAAACCAGGTTTGAAACCGCACTGAAAATAACCAACTTTACTTCTCTGAGTAGCCAGCTGCAAAGATTTTTATGAAACGCAAGAGAAAAATTTATTTAACATTTGGTCCTGCTGGGAAACACCATCAGAGGAAGCTAAATTCCTGAGCAGAGAAAACTGTAGTAAATACTCATTAGGAAGTGGTATCAATAATTTGTGAAGTCCTACTATTAAAACCACATTTTTCTTGTAGATGAGAGCACACATTTCTATGAGTTCTTTAGTGAAACTGCCAGGGTACATCATCACTGACCAAACCCACTCTCGGATTACCTTAACTTTGAGGAAGCTGTTATCTTGCACTTAAATTTTGGGGAATTATTCACAGTCTGTTATGGAAAGCACAGCATCTTATTTACAAGTTCCACTGCTCCAGCAGTGATGCCCTGTAGCAGTAGGTCACTGTGGAAACAAGTGTGGTGTCGTGCAGAGAGCAGTATCACTGAGGTGGGGATGAAGCAGCAGGGTAGATAAACCTTTTTAAAACATATTATGCAAATGTTCTTTATTTTAAAAAAAAAAGAGAGAGATATTAAGAAAGTAGAAAATAATTGTAAGAGGTGAAGCTGTATTTAAAGGGAATAGTTTTCTAAATTATCCATAAGGCCTCACTTGTGATTTAAAAGACTCAATTCAATTAAAGATAATCAGGCCAAAGGGAGACACAATAGACATTTCATTATCAAAATAATTTTATAGGGGAATTTCATGTCTCCTACTTCTAAATCTTCCTTGTTGATTTTTAAACTTCTATAATTATTTCCTTATTTAAAAAAAATACTGTTTGCCACAGCTTTTTACTGTGAAGAACCCATGCAAATTACAGATGAAACTGATGGCACAGGGAACTTAAAAGCATAACATGCACAAAACTGTTAAATACACAGTATACAGAGTATATAAATGTAAATCATAACAATTTGGATGCCACTGTCAAATGAACAATACTTTGTGCTATTAAAAATCCCAGTACCCCAGCACACACACTGGTAGGTGATGCAACGGGATTCCACACTTCCAGGGATGAAACAAACCACTTTCAAAGGGAGACAACAACATACTTTCCACCAACAATATCAAGTGACGCTTGTACATGAGCACAGAAAGGCACATGTTGGGTCCTTGCTTGATGCACCATCCAGCTGCCAGTGCTGATGGTGTGCACTTCAACAGGACCGATTTTCCATGCGGTGGGAAGAGCACTAACTCCATGTAGCTTTGAAGGGTGCCCAGTGTTGCTCTGCTTTTGAAATGTTTCTCAGCTTCCCTGAGACAGCCCGAGGGCTGTCTTCATGCAGACCTGATTGCTTCATGTCATAACTCCACCAAATACACCCTGCCTGGCTTTGCAATCTTCTACATAAGATTTATCCAACACATTTAATAATTTTGTCACTTTAATGCTTCAAATCAACTTTGCAAACAAGCTACAGGGCAAGTAGAGCATGTTTTATTTAATCCCATCCCTTCAATAGCTTTAAGTCAAAAAATGAAATCATGCCCCAGCAAATACTTGTTTTTAAGACTGTAGGTTTCTGAATGTAGATGAAGTTCTTAATGGCATTTTCACATTAGAATGACTATAGGGTTTTTAATCTTTTAACAAAATATTAACACTCAACTGAAAAAAAAGCAAATCTTAAAAACTATAACACAACTAATACAACAGCCAACCAGATGATGATATTCAGACCATCCAAGTATCTTTTTTCCAAGAAAGTTGTTACATCTTCTACTCAGTGTGGCTTAGGAATTGCTACTGAGCCCAACCTTGGCTATTTATAAAGTTATTTAGACTTAAGATACTGTGTGATTCAGCAACTCTTTAGTCTGGGTAATAGGTCTTTCTGCAACATATAAGCAGTTGTAAAATGCTGGGACACATACGTACATATACAGTAGAAAAATAAAGTTTGACATACAGTACATTACTACATGAGGTTTGTACTTCCTTCATCAGGAGATTTACGACACATGGCTTCAGTTATAAAATGTGCATGTTCTTCAGACCCCAGAAGTGTAGGAGGAGGATTAGAGGTGGGAAATGTCAGTCTGGGAAGCTGTGACTTGTCCAAGATGACAGTTCTTGTTGCTCCTCCAATCTCAACAGAGCAGCTCCTCAGGGGCACCCACAGTTCTGCTCATGCTCTGCCTTTTTGTTTTTCTTTCCATCTCAAAACCACGTTCACACTACTTTGGTTTGGAAATACTAAGATTAAGTGTGTTCTTTCCAAGTAAGACATTTACTGTTTCTTACTCTGCATCCAAAACAAACCAAGCAAAAAAATACAGCCCCAAGAACAAACCAGCTTTAACTGAAAAAACATGACGGTTGGATCCAGAACTACCCTCCTGCCTCAGCAATGTAAATCCCAGTCCTACATCCTGTCTTCAAACTGTACACTGACTCCCATGTTTAGAGAGGCTTAGGTGCCATTTACATTTTCCTGGTAAAATGTTGATCATAGTGACTGACAAAGAAAACAGCCACTTTTTCAGACTGCCACAGGGATCAGAAAGGAAATATATTTTTGTGAGATTCAGAACTCAAAAATTTTGTACATTGTCCTCCCCTGCTCTGTTGGACTTGACATTTAAAGATGTGTGCTCTAAGCAAAGCTTTTGCTAACTAGGATATGCAGGACCTCCCTTTCTGGTTGAAGCCATCACCTCAGGAGACTGGAATCAATCTTTAGCCCCTCTCAGCAGTGTATTTTCATAAACTATTTATCTTCTCCCCCTCTCTATCCAGTGAGATGAATTGGCCAAAGGGTTCTAAAGCTGCAAGTGGCACATACAGAAACACGTATGGACTCAGCGATAAAGTAACTTTATGTTGTCTAGACTGAAAATGCCCTCCCAGGTTTTCTTGCATAACCTCCATGTTTGGTAAAATAGCTTAGAATAATCTACACAGAAATTGTTTTCTTAACATTTAATCTAAATTCTCTTTCAAGCCATTACATAATTCCTACTGCTATTCTTTAACACCCACTAAGTTCTCGAACATGTCTGTCCACAGAAAGCCCAAGTAATTAATCCTTTTTATAACACTGCCAGTTCATTTGGTTCACTGTGGAGGAAACTCTCTATTTCAGTATTATACACTATCACAAAACGTATGTTTTAGATTTTTTTTTTACATGTGCAGTCATTTGTATTTTTGTCTTCTAAGTGCTTTTATAAACACTTCTCATTCTGGCATACTAAGATCAAGGTGAACTAGGTGAACAGTATCCATTCATTTAGTTCTTGCTCTTTTACTGATATTTACAAAATAGCTGTAGCTCTGTTCCCAACAATACGACTAGAAACCTACTCAACAAGATTAGAAAGCATGACAATTTTGAAATCCTTACTTTAAACCTCCGCACGGGTGTTTTTAATGGACACAGTCAAATGTTTGAATTTTTTTTTGTATTAAATACTGCAGGTGCAGGTTAAAAACACAAAAACTAACCCAAATGGAAAAATCTTCATTTTCTTCAGGACACCTGCAGGCAACTGATGTGTGCATTGCATAAATCCAAGCTGAGTAGAGGCACTGCCTGAACTGTCATGTATTTTTCTTGTAAAGCTGATGCCACTTGATTGTTCGTAAGAATGCAGACAGACTGCTACTGTCATGGAGTTGTACAGTTTTCCTGAAACTACCAGCTTAGAGAGTAGCTTCATAA